CCCGGGTCTGGAGGTGCCATCGTCCCGGGCCTCGGCGGGCGGCTCCGGCTGTCTCTCTCTGGGTGATCTGCTCAGGGGAGCGGTTTCCCGGGTTTCCAGCCACCGCTGCTTCTCCACGGAAAGCAGTGGAATATTGGAAAGACTGGAAGATTTGCATCGGCTGGAACCTGGCTCTCCGGAGCTTGACTTCCTCACCTTCTCATCCTCGGATGCCTTCCGCCTGGCGTCACCGAGCGGGAGATGGTTCTCGGCAAATGCTGCGCGCTGTCGCTCGGGAGACCACCCTTCCGTCTTTCCAGAGGTTTTCTGCTTCCCGTCCTTCCTGGTGACTCCTGCTATACCACTTCCACCTTTCAGGTGCTCAGCAGCTGTATCACCGCCCGTCGGTCTGTCCTGGTATTCCGGTACCCCGCCTTCCGCTTCCGCGGTCCCCTGTTGCCCCAGGAGCCTTCGGGGGCTGGCAGCTCGTCCTTGGTTTCCACTGGAATACTCTTTCATCCCTATTTCCCTGGGTTTACTCTCACTCTTGCTGGAACTGTCAGGTTTATGTGAGAGACTGCCGTGGGTTTTCCCGGGTTCCCCCTTCCTGGGGCTGTGGAATCCTGCGTCAGGGTGTCCCTCAGCCGCTGGCTTTCCTGGACTTGCCGATCTGGCTCTCCTGGTCCCTGATTCCAAACTACCTTCGGTGGCTTCAAACCCAGGGCTGGAGGGACATTCCCACCTGTCCCTGGCTCTCGGGGGAGAAGACTGAGGCTTCACCTCAACCCGGGTTTGGGGTAAAGTGCTTTTCGGTCCAGGCACAGCGTTCCTGGCTTGTTCCAGTTTCGCAGACAGCTGAACCCTCGGCAGAGCTTCTCCCGGTGAGCGACACACTTCGGATGGGGAAGCAGAATGTGGCGATGAAGGTGACGGTGACTGTTCTTCATATATTACATGTGACGAAGATGGATTAGAACTATCCCAATCACCTGGAAGGGAACAGCGAGAGAGTTGACTAAACGACAGCCACGACACCTGCGGCACTAAATACTTCAGGAACGCGCGTTCTGCGGAGGTGCCGGGGCGCTACGTGGAACCGTCCGTTTAAAAAGGATCCCGTAGCGGCCAGTTTTCTGGCTTGCCTCGTTCTACGCCCTGCAGCCACCGGAAGGAGGTGATCTGGGAAGCAGCTTGTGCTTGGAAGGCTGGGGGACTGACCCGGGCTTGTATGGGCAGACGAGGAGCCCCCGGAGCAAAACCGCCCAACAGCAAGTCCCTGACCCGCAGCGTTTAACGTGGGAAAACCCCATGAGCTGAAACTGTTACGCTAAAGAAAACCGGAAACAGTGAAAAGTGGAGGTTATTCACAGCTTTGCACTTTAATAACAGGAGGAGATGAAACACAAGACATGCAGATTTACCAAGTCTTTAAGGAAAAACCAAGAAAAGCACTGAAAGCCCTTAATGCTGCTCAGGTTTCACGTAGGGACACAGACTGGAAGGAGCCAAACCTGAAGGAGGAAGAGAAAAAGCCCAGAACTACATACCAAAATCAGAGTACAGCAAGCGAGGTTTCAACTAGAAACGTCTGATTAACAGCAAGGCAAGAGGCAACAAAACCCCTCCCTCTCCACAGCGCCAACCTGATCAGGCTGCTCGGCCCGGCCCGGGGCCCGGCTTCTGACCGCGTCCCTCCAGCTGTTCCTTCGGAGCCTCCTGGGACTCCGTGTTTTTACCTCAGACTCAGGTTTCCCCCAACACGAGGGCCAGGAGCGACTCCAGGAAACGCTCGGCCCTGTGGTGGGGGATACACGACGGCGGAAGTGACCCCAGGCTCGCCCAGCCGCCAGCTCCCGGCGTGGGAAGGCAGGCTGGACTGCGTTTCACCCTTGCCAGAGGGGATGAACCAGGAGCCCAGGCTGGTGGTGAGCGCAGACCCTGGGCGGGACGCTGCCGTGCCACGCGCCGGTTCGCTGGCTGCACGTGCCGGCAGGCTCAACAGCGACCGCAGGGCCTGGGCAGCTCCCACTGCCTGCTTTGCGTTTTGCAAAGGATAAACGCGTGGGGCCGGGATTATCAGAAAGCTCTTCCTCAGGAAAAGCGACCTCAGAAACCAGAGCCCTGGCGTCAGCACCGAGGCTGGAAGGTCGAGAACGTGTATGCGGAGAGGAAGTGTTCTGTGCTTCCAAATGCTGCGCGCCCACGCGTCTCCGGGGCGTTTCCTAAGTCAGACTCAGACCCGCCAGCCCTGTGCTGCGCAGCTGAACTCGGGGTTCCTGTGCTGGCTTTTCTGTCCCCTACAAAGCTCCGCCATCCGCCCCCGGCTTCGGCCTTGAAGAACACCACACTCCCTAGGCCAGAAGGCCAAAACCGGCCAAGCAAAGCTGTGCATACGACTGTTAACAGCACGGACACTGGGAATAATGGTCCTGGTCCTGGTTGTGTTCATTTTATCAAAACTATTCCTCGTCTTCTCGGCCAAACGTGAGCCGCTGCAGAGCTGGGCTCTGCCCTGGGACCTGCCAGCCGCTGCGGCGAGCAAGCACCAGCCTCCCTTCAGACCGCGGGACAACGTACCGTGATCCGGTATCAGGCCAGTCCCCGGCCTCAGCAGCAGCAAAACCTTGTTCCCTCCAGCCTGGATCAGCTCAATGGCTCGCGTGTGAGTGATTCCTTGGGTGGGTTCTCCGTTAATTTCCACAATTTGGTCACCAACCTGTCGAGAAAACAGCAACCAGGTCAGTCTGTGACCCACCGACTAAACCTTCACTTATTCACCAGCGATGAGATGGGCACAGCCACGTGCATCCTGGTGCTCTCCTTCCGGAGCACGGCACGGACGAGCCCCGGCACGCCTGCCCCACGCGCTCTTCGGTTGTGCTAGGCGGCAGCACAGCAACGTCCCCCCCTTACCCCCAGCGCAGGGCCATACGTAAGGAGCGGGTTGCCTACTCCAGGTAGGAGAGGTCGCCAACTAAGCCGGAGGTCTCTGGGGCCAATTAACAACTTAGAGTAATTACAGCTCACCCTACCTTCCCAGGCTGCTGCGAAGGGCTTGGCACAGCATCCCCCTAAACAGGGCCCGGA